AAAGGGTTAAAACATTAAAGAGGCAAGTTTCAAAAGCCATAGTCATCCAAGAATCTGTAAGAGAGAGAAACAAGATCTCAAAGCTCAACCAGCACATATGGTCTATCCCTTATTGAAACAATAAGAAAAATGACTTAAGAAAGTCTCATTAGCAGCCCTCACAAAACAGACAACTTATGCAGGAGTATTAACATCACATGATCTTACCTGCAATAGAACCAAGAGCTTCAGCAGCTTCATGTCTAACCATTGGGTGCTCACTTGCATTCCTGAGTATTCTGCTAAGTGCAGCTGAAGCAGCTTTATTTTGCAACTGACCCAAGACATAAGCAACCTGTGTTACAGAAAGTTGACAAACATAAAAAACCATCCAGTCATAGAAAAAAAAAACAGCAAGTGACATGAGAGATGAGGCAATTATTTAAAGGAAAATCATCAAACCTCATGCTTCAACAAAGCACTTTTCGCACCCAAAGAATCAATAATGGCAGAAATAGCTTCCTCTCCACCATGATTTCGGAGAGCAAAAAGAGCTGAATACCTCTCATACATGCCTCTTTCTTCATCCAACAGCACCTCCCTTAATATTAGATGACGCCAGTAAATAACCTAAAAAATAAACATGATAAATAGAAAGTTGCATCCGTTAACAATAATGAGAAATACCTCAATTTATTAATAGATGAATGAGACGAAGCTGGTGCAGCAGGGTCAACTGACAAAAAAGGTGACCTTTCTGCCATGGATGCTTTATCATCGCTACCACCAGACTTTAACTCCTCAATTCGTTGGAGAGCCAGCTCACATGTTTCACGGACCTCCTGAGCTGGGTCTAGAACCAAACTATCCTTCAAAAGAGGAATGTTACTCTCTAAACCAATTGCACCAAGTGCTTCTGCTGCCTGAGGAATAATAACATATCAACCATTTTAGCAAAATAGTTATCATATGACAGACAAATAAAATACATAACACTAGAACAACTTAAGCATGAACCAACCTCATGACGAACAATGGGATGCAAAGAAAAATCATTGAGAACTGCTTTCAAAGCAGGGATAGCTTCAGCATCTTGCATTTGACCCAATGCAAATGCAGCTTCATGAGCCAACAAATTTGATGAATCCCTTGTTGCTGCAGCAAAGATTAGACTGTTTAGTTGGGGAAAGACAACAGGTTTATAATATTAATTCACTAATAAAGTCACCATTTACTCCTTTTTCTTTTGTAGGATTTTCCTTATATATATCAATTATCATCAAATCTTGCAACTAAACCATCGACCTATCCTAAATTAAGTAACTCTAACTTCCATCTATGCATTTTCTAGAAAGAAAAATAATGCAAAAAGAAATCAGCAAAACTATTCGTAAAAATTAAGGCTTGAGTTCACAAGTAATTACTCCTCTGCTTACCATTAATATATGAAAAAGAAAAAAACAGTACTATATTTTTAGCATAGTAATTGAAAGAGAAAAAGATAGAATTCTGATATGTAAACTATAAAACATATGGACCTTGAATGAGAGCGTTGCGAGGGCCAGGGCCTTTGAGGTTGCGAAGGGAGAAAAGGGCTCGGAAGCGCTCAGATATGGGTTGGGTAGGGTCAAGCAATCGGTCACAAAGAAATTTCTCCATGTTACTGGGCAAGGACAACCTGGATACTGAAACACTAGATTTGTTCTCAGATACCTGAGAGGCAGATCAAGTTCGTTGTTATAACAAGAAACAGTAGATGCACCAGACACAGACAAATCTCCAGAGACACATTAGGAAGAAATGAAAGCAGCAAGTAAAAGAAGTTCCACAAGTCGCAAAAACATATACCAATGTGTCTACCCCAAAAAATTCAAAGAATATGACACTGAATCAGGATTAGGGCCGAAAATCTACCCCAAAAAATTGCAAAAACCTCAAAACCAAAATAATAGAAAAGCCTGCAGTCAAATAAAACTCAGATTTATCCCAAAGACCACTAAATCAAAGAAGCATGTCTCCTTTAATATCCCTTACAAGAAGAGTTTCAAGAATGCCCCCTGCTTTCCCGAGAAGAAAGAGGGAAGGAATAGGAATTAATAAAATAAAAAGAAATCACTCCATTAAAGATAAAGACAAAGATTCTAAAATCCCATTTATCCAGCAGCTCAACAGTTAACAAGGTGTAGTCGGAAGGTTTAGGGTAATTATAACTCAACAATTAGGGTTAGAGTGAGATTGATTGTGTTAGAACAATATAAAGATAATTAGGTTTTTAAAAAAAAATTTAAATAAAAATTAATAATAATCCTGCAGGACCACCTATTTATACTAGTTAAAATAAATCCTAATCAAATAATAAACCTAATCTTATAAAGATGGAAAAAATAATCTCAAACTAAAAAAAATAAAATCCTAAACTAACGAAATATTAAATAAAATCAAATTCCATATGTGTCTACATCAGCCCCCTCCGTTAGAAAAGACTCGACTCCGACGAATAGGCCTTAACATACTCCTAATAGATGTCTGGATCCACTCGTTTCAATTCCTCTTTAGCAATCCAAGTACTTTCATTAGCAGGTTTACCAAGCCACTTCACTAAAAATCGTCTATACAGGTTCCCTCGTCTAGATCGAACCTCTTTCACATCTAACACATCTTCAATAACTTCAGCCTTAGCAATTGAAAGTTGCTAAATTTGAGCATCTATGGCAGATGCAGTCCTGTCATATTCATCAAATGGATATAAGTCCAAACATTGAAAATGGGACTGATTTGTAACTCAAGTGATAGCTTAATTAAGTAGGCATTTGAACTGATTTTCTTTAGCACTTTACAAGGTCCAAACTTTCTAGACTTGAGCTTGTGATAAGTACTCGTAGAAAATCTTTCTTGCTTCAAGCGCACAAGTACTTGATCACGTTCCTTAAATTCCTGCTTACGACAATGTTGATTTGCAGTGAAAGAGTATCCTGCACTGCTAGCTTTGAAAGCAGCTTTTACCTCTTCATGAATCTTTCGAATGTGATTAGCAAATAACTCTACTTCATTACTCACTTTAGCTTCTTGTGGTAATGGCATTAAATCAAGCACATGCTGAGGTTTTAAGCCATATGCAGCCTCAAATGGTGTTTTCTTTATGCCTTGATTAACAAAATTGTTGTAAGCAAATTTAGCTTGGGGTATGACTAAATCCCAAGTCTTTGGGTTGTTCTAAATAAGACATCTTAACATATTACCCAAACTTTGATTTACAAGTTCTATCTGATCATCTATTTGTGGATGGCAAGTACTAGAATATTTCAAGTTTGTCCCAAATTTCCTCCACAAAGTTCTCCAAAAATATCCCATAAACTTCACATCTCTATCAGAAACAATGGTAGTTGGAATTCCATGAAGTCTTACAACCTCACAAAAGAATAATTCAGTAATATGAGTTGCATCACAAGTCTTAAAACATGTAATAAAATATGCCATTTTTGAAAAACGAGCCACTACCACAAAGATAAAATCAAACCATTTTGCTATCTTTGGAAGTCCTAAAACAAAATACATACTCAAATGAATCCATGGTGTAATTGGCTCAGGTAAAGGAACATATAAACCTATTTTTTGAGCACTACCTTTACCAAATAAACAAGCTGGACATCTTTTCACCAACCTTTCCACATTTCGGTGCATTTTTGGCCAATAATAACGATTAGCCACCATTGCCAACATCTTGTCTCTGCCAAAATGTCCTCCCAAACCATTCCCATGAAGTTCTCTCCTGACTTGCTCGTTCAAAGATCCTTCTGGAATGTACAACTGGTTACATTTGAATAAATAATCTTCATGCAACCTATAAGGTAAATTTCCAGCTTGTAATGAATCTTGCAAATCAGTTATTATCTTGTTAAAATAAAGATCAGAACTGTCCTAATTTTTAAGTTCTTCAAAGCCTATAACTTGAGTGCTCATAACTGATAATAGTGCATATTGCTTACTCAAAGCATCAGCCACAATATTAGACTGTCTAGATTTATATTTCAAAGAGAAATTTTCACTAAAAAACCTTTCTAGGCCTTCCATCTTGACTAAGAACTACTCCAATTTCTACATGTGAAGCATCACATTCAATAACAAATCACTTTTCAAAATCTAGTAGTGTATGAAGTGGGGCTTCAGTCATCAACGTTTTCACTTTTTCAAAGGCTTGTTGTGCAGAATGTGACCATTCAAATCCTTTTTTCTTTAAAGATTCAATTATTGGACTCATAATAGAACTAAAATTTCGAATGAATCTCCTATAAAAAGATGCCAATCCATGAAAACTCCTTACTTCTTTGATAGATGTAGGTACTGGCCACTTTGAAATTACATGAATCTTCTCTGGATATGGTTTTAAACCTTCTACCGACAGAATGAAACCAAGAAATACCATTTCTGGTTGCATAAAATTGCACTCTTTCAAGGTTATATAAAGTTGCTCCTTTTGAAGTTCTTCTAGAACTTGCTGTAAATGTTTTAAGTGCTCTTCCATAGATCAAAATATCACTACATGGCAAAAACCAATTTCATTGTTCCAATCGTACCAAGCCAACCAACACCATTAATTATTGTCCAGCAAGATAATTCTATGTTTCCTACTACTATTATACCGGATGAGACAAATTACTCATTATGGTCTCAACTCATGAAGATGTGTGTTGGTGTTTGCAACAAAGCTAGTTATCTCACTAGAAAAGCAAAATAACTACACGTGGAGATCCTAATTTTGGAACATGGATTACTGAAGATCACAAAGTGAAAAGCTGGCTTATTGACTCAATGAGTCCATCGCTGATGGACGATTTATTTGTCTTCCCACAACCAAGGAGATATGGGAAGCTGTATCGAAACCTTCTATAATGATCTAACATGATCTAACACGACGTGTATTTTTGAGTTGAATCAAAGATCATTCTTTACCAAACAAAATGGTCGACCATTATCAACATACTCTAATGAACTTGTAGCTATTTTTCAGGAAATTGATCACAAGACTATATCGCAAGAAGAAACAGTTGAAGATGTAGTCCACGAGTCTAAGCTTCAAGTCCACATTTTTCTAAGTGGACTTGATTCTGAATTTGATCAAGTTCGTGGAAAAATCTTACGAAAAGATCCAAAATTTGATTTAGAAAGCATGTATGAATATGTCTAGAGAGAATATCAACAAAGACAGACAATGGGAGGCTCTTGTCTAAATCTTGAGAGCACGACTATGCTAGCCAACCAAACATGGCAAAGACCATCATTTAGCTCCTCAAAAAATCGAAGCAATCAATGAACCAGAAAATCTGACATTCTAGTATGTATTCATTACGGTGAAACAAGTCATTCGAAACAACGATGTTATGAAATCATTAGCTATCCTGAGCGGTGGGACTTCATAAAGAAACCTAGAAAGAAGATTGCAAGGAAAGCCATGGTGACATCCACGAAAGAAAACCAATCAAAGCCTACAGTAAACATTACAAACAAATCATAGCCTATGACAAACATTACCCACTCCAGTATGGGTGGTAAGGTATCAATATTTTCTACAACTTCTAAGAATAATACATGGATTATTGATACAGGAGTATCTGACCATATGACTAAGGACTTTTGTCAGTTACAATAAGTCTTCCCTTTTTCTCAATCTATCATCTCCACAGCTAATTGTAGTTCATGTCATGTTATCGGACAAGGATCTGTCATATTATTTAATTCTCTTACATTGGATATAGTTCTTTTTGTTCCATCCCTTGAATGTAATCTTTTTTCTGTTGGCCGAATTACCTTTACTCTTGATTATATTGCAACTTTTTGGCTCTCATTTTTCATTTTTAAAGACATTCTAACTCGAAAGATTCTTGGTTATGGCGTTAGGCGGGGCAAACTCTACTATTTGGAGTTAATAGAAAGCAAGAGACCAAAATTCAACAAGACAAATCTAACTAATAGTAAAGATAAAGCTCGAGCGATTATATGGTTATGGCACCAAAGACTAAGACATCTTCCTTATGGTTATCTTTGGAAGTTACAACCACATCTATTTTCAAGTCTGAATGATTTGGATTTTTATTGTGACATTTGCAAACCAGCTAAAAGCCATTGTATTTCTTATCCAGCAAGTTTGAATAAAAGTTCAAAACCTTTTACGATTATTCACTCTGATGTTTGAGGTCTTGCAAAAATTCTTTCTATTTCTAAAGCTGATTATTTTCTTACATTTATTAACAAATATAGAAGAATGACTTGGGTATCTCTACTTCAAAATAAAAATGATGTATGCACAACATTTCAGAAATTTATACTATGGTGGGCACTAGTACCAAAAGCAAATTCTTGCTCTACAAACGGACAATGGTACTGAATATGATGGATCTTGACAAATTTTTTAGCCTTCAAGGGATTCGTCATCAAGCTTCTTGTACTTATAATCCACAGCAAAATGGATTGGCTAAGAGAAAACATAAACAGATAATGGAAATGGTTCATGCCTCTCTCTTTGGCATGAACATGCCTCAGTTTTATTGGGGAAAAGCTGTCAAATTCGCTACATACTTTATTAACCGAATACCTTCTCGAGTAATAGACTTTCAAACCCCCAACAGAAAATGCAATCTTTACTTTCAGTTCCCCATCTCATTAATTTGAAACTACGAGTTTGTAGTTGCACTGTATATGTTCACATTCCTAAAACCTTACGAAATAAACTTGATCCATGTGCAAAACGATATGTTTTTGTTGGCTATTCTAATTTTTAGAAAAGGTATAGGTGCTATGACCCTTAAACCCGTAAATTACCTGCAACCTTGGATTTTTTTTTTTGTAAATCAGAGTTTTATCATTCAGGGGAAATCTCTAGACCTTCTCTTCAGTGGGAGAGCTCTAGTGAAGAAAGTGTGTTACAACAAGGTGGTGGAGAAGAGGAGTTTATGGAGTTAGAGGAAGGGAATGAACGTTTTGGAAAAAGTATTCAACAATGTTGTGATAGTATTTTTTAAACTGAGACTGAGTGAGTTTTTCTTGCAAATGAATCAGGTGTTTTCATCACAAGAGTCTTCAAAATTACCCATGCCTACATCTACAGCATTAACTGAAGAATCAACCCATAATGTTCTCCCAAAGCAATCTTGAATCCCATATCTGATGAGGTAATCTTGAATCCTATATTTGATGAGTCCCATAAGATTTCAAATTTCATATCTGATGAGTTCCATGAAACATATGTTCCTATAGAAAGGATAATTTCTAAATATCCACAAAGATCGAATAAGGGAGTCTTAAAGAAACAATATGAACTTGATCCAAAAGCCAAGGTTAAATACCCAATTAGCAACTACGTGTCCTCTCATAAATTGTCTGAATCCTATGCATTCACTATTAATCAATTATCTATTATATCTATTCCTAGTAGTTTGTAAGATGCATTAAAAGATCCGAAATGGATCAAGGTGATGAACGAAGAAATGGAAGCTTTGCAAAAGAATGCTACTTGGGAACTAGTTCCCTTACTCAAAGAAAGAAGGCAATTGGATGTAGGTGGGTATTTATAGTAAAACTCAAAGCAGATGGCAGCATTAACAAATATAAAGCAAGATTAGTTACAAAAGGGTATACACAAAGTTATGGGGTGGATTACCAAGAGACTTTTGCACCAATATCCAAGATCAATATAATTTGCATTCTAATATCTATAGCAGCAAATCAAGATTGGCCTTTACATCAATTTAATGTTAAAAATGCTTTTCTCAATGGACACTTAAAAGAAGAGGTCTACATGGAGTTACCACCAGGAATTAAACATAGTTATTTATTTCGAAGGAAGGTTTGTAAACTGAAAAAGTGATTATATGGACTGAAACAATCACTTGAAGCTTGGTTTGGGAGGTTTTCTTTTATAATCAAAGCATTTGGTTATAAGCAAAGTAACTCAGACCATACTTTGCTTATAAAATACAAAAAAGGGTAGGAAACAACTTTAATCGTGTATGTCGATGATATGGTCTTGACAAGAGATGACCCATGCGAAATGAAAGCATTATGGGAATATTTGGCTGCTAAATTTGAAATGAAAGATTTAGGGTAACTTACATATTTCTTAAGGATTGAGGTTCCAAGATCTTAATAGGGGATTTTTCTTTCCAGACAGAAATATGTGGTAGATCTCTTAATTGAAACTAGAACACTTGCTTGCAAACCAACAGACACGTCCAGAGAAATGAATCATAAGCTTGGAATTTTTTCAAATCAAGTTCCAACAGACAAGGATTTTTATCAGTGGTTGGTTGGGAGATTAATTTATTTGTCACACACAGGACTGAATATAGCTTATGCTGTAAGTGTCGTAAGTCAATTTACACATGCACCAAGTGAAGAAAATATGAATGCAGTATATCGAATCTTAAGATACTTGAAGAGTGCTCTAGGCAAAGGTTTATTATTCTCAAAATGGTGTCTTTGACATTGAAGGACTTACAAATTCTGACTGGGTAGGTGATCAAACAACCAGAAGATCTACATCTAGTTATTTTATTTTCATGGAAGGTAATCTTGCCACTTGGAAAAGTAAAAAACAGAAGGTTGTGGCAAGATCAAGTGCAGAAGTTGAATTTCAAGAAATGGCTCATGGTATATGCAAATTATTATGGATTAGGAGTATTCTCAAAGAGTTGGGAATTGAAACTGCAAAACCTATGAATTTTTATTGTGATAATAAGATAGGTATTGAAATTGCACAAAATCCTGTACAACTTAATTGCACCAAGCATGTTGAAATTGATTGACATTTCATTAAAGAGAACTTCGATAAAAAAATTATACGATTTCCATTTGTTTGGCCTGAAGGTTAGTCAACTGATACTCTCCTGTAAGCAGTTTCAGAGAAAATGTTCCATGCTATAATTGACAAGTTGGGCATGATTGATATCTATGCTCCAACTTGAGAGGGGGTATTAGCATGAGCTGTAATTATTAATTTTAGGAATATCTTGAGAGAATATTTCTTTATTTTCTTCATCTAATGAAAATCCCAAGTTAGGCTTCTGCTTCTAGTCTGAAACAACACCCCATAATCAACGAAGAATATCAAAGGAAAACATGACAACTATATTGTAAAAGTTCTACTCACACATAAAGGAATTGACACAGCTTCTTCGACTATAGCATCTGCACTACAAGATACTTGATAACGGTTCACATTCCTTAAATCTATGGAAAAAGTCTACAACTTGTGACACGATTGTAAACATATATCAAACTGTATTCAAATATTAGCCTCCGAAATCAAAACACCAAAAGTAAACAAATTGAAAAATAGTAAAAGATACCCATATTACAGCAATAACCCTAAATCAAATTTCCAACCAAAAAGTAAAAAATTCCCAATTCCAAAACCCTAGACCTTGTTATTCCATCAAAAGATTTAACCCATAATTGAAACATCAACAACAAAGAAATAAGCCAAAAAGGAAACGCGCGCACGGGCGAGAGAGGGAGAGAGGGACTGACCAGAATGAGATCGAAGAGAGTGGCTTGATCGACCTTGACAAAGTCAGTGTCCCAATTTTTGAGCTCGTCCTCGGCGATTCGATTTTCCGTCTTAGGAGCCTCCACATGCTTTTTGCAATACTCGATCACCTTCGCCAGGATCTTACTCGTGACGTTGGGCAACAGTATTCCGTTATCGGCGCAATCGTCCTCGATCATGTGCTTTATCGTCTGTGATTCCAACGCACCGCTTCATCCACCTCGAACGATTCACCGTCCGAGCACTTCAGTTCACAGTGATCTTCCTCCCCGAAGACGACATCGTTTTCGCTATCGAATTATTTCGACAAAAAGAAGGAAAAGGAAAAGACCAACTAGTAAGGATTTTTCCTTTATTTGCCAGAAATTAGACACTTTTCTTATGGAGTAAAAGAAAGTTTTACGACAGAATCCTTATTTATCTAGAGGGTAGGGGTGGCCTTGGGGAAAGGTCGGTTTCTCTTTGGAACGGTGCGATTAATAAACGTGGCGCTAGTGATTGTTTTATGTTCTCTCCAAACCAATAAAATGTTGACACGTATGAATGCGAAAGGAGAGTAGATTAGATTAATCCGCTGTGTCCTCCTAGGCCAACTATGTTAAAAGAGAGTATACTTTTTGAACATTTTTAATTATTGTGAGAATGGATTCATTAATTCAGAGCTTTTTAATTTAATTAATCTTAATTTATTGAGTTAAAGAATTGACATGCATTTTCTTTCAAGTTATATTTATAAAATTTTATAATAGTCAAATAAATACGTATGGACCATCAAAAGTTCTATCTGATGAGGAAAATAATAACTCATTATCTAACGTTTACATAATAATAATAATAATAATAATAATAATAATATTATTATTATTATTATTATATTAATAAAAGGGCTTTGTGCCAAAAAGCAAACTATTTAGAATTTGATTCAAATGGTACCTTCTTTCCATACAAAAGGGAAAAGATTTGAAGTCATCCTTCTTTATTCTTGCTCAAGTGCATTGTTTGTGGCATGCTACGTTTGGCAGTCTCTGTTTGCTATCTCTAAAGAAAACAACAGGAGTTTTCTGGATCCCAAAACCACATTTTACTATTGAAAATTAGTCTATGATATAACATGTGCTGAATCTGGAAAATAATCAGGACTAATTTACATATATGAAAGACTCAAAAAGGCCAGGTAGCAATCTTTAGCATAGTTCTTCAGTTTTGACAGCGGCAACTAGTGGTTGCATTCTATATTTTTCGACTCCCCAAACAAAATATGAGCTTGAATCTTGTCGCTCATGACTCCATAAATTGGGATGGTGGAGGGCTTGTTTTAGTCTTCTCTGGACCTGCAACAGTTACGGATGTTTGTAAGTTCTGTTTAGGACTAAGAATCATCTTAATATTTTTCCAATTTGGTTGTCATTAGATGCCAGCCAATGAGTGATTTAGAAGATAAATGAGATTTCATTGCGATCACAAGGTTCTTGGCATGGGTAGGACTTACCATAGACACCACGCATGTCTACTTCACGCCATTCTTGAACGAGGGCACAGCAGTAGCACATCAGATGTGAGAGGAAATCATCAACAAATCCACCCTGCCAAGGGAAGAAAAGGGTAGAGTTGTAAGGAAACAAAATTGAAAGTAAGGATGGAAAACTACTATGAACAACTAATTGTGGACCTTGTATCCAAGATTAAGCTTTCTATTAAGAAAAAGAAAATAGTAGGAAGTGATTATCAGTGATTTGGATCACACAGAAGTATGGATGTCACCAAAAAGAAGTGTTGATAATAGATTGTGACAACAATCTATTTTTGTGACAACAATGGAGTTGTTGCACAAGTAAAGGAACCATGGTCTCCTAAGTGATTTAAACATGTATTAAGGCATTACCACTTGATTTGAGAGATTATCAAATGTGGTGATATAAAGAGTGAACATGTGACTTTAAAGGATAATCTAGCAAATCCTTTCATTAAGGTCTTGTCCCAACATAAACATGACCACCACATGGAAGGCATGGTTATTAGATATATAAGTGATTGGCTTTAAAAGAAGTGGGAGATTAATAGAGTTGATACAAGCCAATCGACATATTTTGTAGAAAATATTGACTTTGATTTTATGCATTGCATTAATAAAAAGTTTTCTTTAGATATGAATTTACATATTTTCATATTTGAGATAAAGTTCTTGAAGTGAATACACTTTGTACAGGAATTATAATGTGCTATAATTATGAAATTTTCATTGCATGAAAGCATCACTCTGAAAAAGTTACTTGTCAATGCTTTACCAAGATAGCATATCGGTATAAGACAAAAGATTAGAATATATTATGTTTCTTACTTGTGAATTAAGTAATTGATTTCATAGATTAATGTATTAAGATACTTAAAACTAACATATGAATGCTTGTTATAAAAACAAGTTTACTAAACATTATCAACCATGAAAAGTCCATTTGATACTTTCACTCAAGTGTTTATAAAGGTATTCTCATGTGTCAATTATGTAAATAATTCTTCAACTTGAGATCATTAGGTTCTTTTATGTGGGCATTGCTATACTTTGATATTACTTGAAGTAGTCCTAATTAAGAATGTACAATTGGGCATATGTTGAGTATAACATGAACTACAAAAAGATAAATGAATGATCAATAAAGATATAGGATAAAACACTCTTCCCTCATAAAGTTTTGTTTATAATTACATGTTAGTCTATTAGTATTAAAAATAGACATTCCGTCCTAAAATTATTTAAGTCAATAGACACATAAGTTCTACCATCTATCCACTGTTAAAGTTTTTATTTATTTAATGATGTGGTATTAACTTTATACCAATTTTACCTTTCTGTTTGCTTAATTTTACATCTCATCTTCTCCAATGAACAACCAACGCTCTGCTACAATATTTGAAGGCATTTTCTATTTTGGGTTTGAAAGAATTTGACATTTCCACAAGTACCAAGGATAGGAAGCATTCTAAAATCTTCTTTCAATAGGATGGCATATGATTTTAAAACTCTGAACCCATTAACAACTTGCAAAAAGATTGAATTTTCTGGGTTGGACCCTACAATCGAGCTGCCCTTGTTGCAATTTACCACCAAAGAGATTTTCCTTTCAAGGCCAGAGCTTAAAAGGATTTGTCATCATCTTGAATCTTGCATAGCTTCTTCTAAATGTTTTCTTTTTTCGCCCCACTTCTTGGTTGTTTTTTCTTTTGAAATACTTAAACTAGCCTATCTCTTTTATGATGAAGCATCATATATAGCTATGTGCTTTTAACGTTTTTAAACCAACATTATGATCAAAAAAAGAGGTTTTGGTCTTTCTTTGCTTTTCTAGCAGAGCAATATCACTAGATCTTTTTTTCTCTCTAGGAAACTTGTTGGTTTTCGAAATATAGATTAGATTCAGTATTTGTGCTTATTATTCTTTTGATTCATAAAGAATTAATCCTCTAAAGTGATACTACTATACCCCAGATCCATTATAAGAGTTGCTTGTGCTTCATTGGAACTTCTATCACGTTGATGACAGCTAGTATTTAGCATTTAACTTTCAAGAAATTAAACCAGCATCATCAGTTGAAAAAAAGTTTAAGAAAATAGCTTATAGCTAAGACTCTAAAACATAATTTCCATTCAACAAAGTCCAGCAGAACAATATAAGTCTTGGCTTTGATTCACCCTTCCGGAATTTTGCAACTACCATAACCTAGTCTCGAGCTTCTAATTTCTTGAATAATTTTCTAGCCATCATTACAAATCTCAAATGAATATGCTGCCCTTCTTTGTTTTTGTATTGCACTTTTCTATCCCTTGTGTTAATGGTGTTAATTAATGTGTGTAAATTAACTAGAGCTATGTTGTATTGAATTGTTTTTTTTCTTTTTGTTTTTTGAAAAGCTGCAGTATTATTAATTTGAAATGTTAGCTCTCATTGATGAGGGTAACAGAACCCACCAAGAAAAATAAGGGTTGGTTTGGGGCCTTTATGCCTCTTACAAGAATGGCCAAGACATATAGACTCCAAACCTCCAAAAAAAACTGAACCATTAAAGGGGTTAGCAAAACATTAAAAAATGGGGTGCCTGTCACAAGCGTATATAGACCCTAAAGCACGTATGCTCCCCATTCAACAACTTTTCACATACCCCAATCAACTAACTTGTACAAAACCAAATAACACCCATTCGTATCACAGAAGCCAGATCTGCAGCTGAGGCCACCGAGGGGTTGCAAGAGCAGCATGCGACCAAGAGAGATGTCCACATAGGCTCACATCCATCAACTCCCTCAAGCCCAACCATTGGTAAACAGAACTGAACCAGACTTTACCACTGATTTTATTAGACTTGTTAATAAAGGATTCTTTTTATCAAAAATAAAAAATCTGAAGAAAAAAATGACTTGAAAATATGGTTGTCATGTTGATGGTCTGGTTCTTATCATCCACCCAGGAGTTGTACAAATTTGATAATAATTTCAAGTTTTAATGACTTCAAAAGATGAATCTTAGAATATAACCTCTCAAGCTACTATTTAAGTGCCTTCAATATTTACTGGGTGGTTCCACTTCCATGCAACCTCCATTCCATCAGCTTCATCAAATATCTTGTAAATAGTCTTGAAAGCTCCCTTCCCAGGATCTAAGCAAAATCACAATCATCGGTCGCCTCCATTTTTTCTATGTGCAAAGAACTAACCGCCGCTAGACCCCTTGAAATCCAATCGAAATTTTCAAAAAAAATTCACAAAAAGAAAGAATAAAAGAAAAGTTGAAAAACAAAGGCAGAAAATGCTATTAGAACCCCAATTGGAAGTGAACGCGATGATATAATCTGTTGTTAATCTGCTACTAAATTTGAAATGAAAGATTTAAGGTAACTTACATGTTTCTTAGGGATTGAGGTTGCGAGATCTTAATAGGAGATTTTTCTTTCCAGATAGAAATATGTGGTAGATCTCTTAATTAAAACTAGAATACTTGCTTGCAAACCAACAAACACGCCCATAGAAATGAATCATAAGCTTGGAATTTTTTCTGATCAAGTTCCAATAAACAAGGATCGTTATCAGTTGTTGGTTGGGAGATTAATTTATTTGTCACACACAAGACTGAATATAGCTTATGCTGTAAGTGTCGTAAGTTAGTTTACACATGCACCAAGTGAAGAAAATTTGAATGTAGTATATCGAATCTTAAGATACTTGAAGGGTGCTCTAGGCAAAGGTTTATTATTCTCAAAAATTGGTGGCTTTGACATTGA